CTTGCGAGCAGTTGTTGGGGATCTTAGGATATGGTAAACAGTCGAAGCCGCAACATTTTCGCTTTTAAAATGTTGTACCGTATACTTTTTGCCGAGATTTCTGTGCAGTTCGTAGAACTGTACAACGCGCTCGCGAAATACTTCTTGTTTCGACGGCATTTTGAGCACAACTGAGCAAGCATAAACAAAACAGAAAATACTAGCAGAAAGAGGAGAGAGAGCTAACATATACACACTCTTATTTCTCTCTGAGCTCGTTTGTTGTTGAGCATAGAGGCCTCGAAAAAATTCCAAAATTTTAGTTGCCACCCGTTACAAATGCAAGAAAACGATTATCTGTACACGGTTTAAGCAATAAGGTAATAAGCAGATCAGCGGAGAATACTAAAGAAGACTAATGATTTGGTATGCATTATGCAGCATTTTAAGTATACTTTCAAATGGAATCATCCTGGTTTGCCCAATTTTGCCCAACTTCGAGCTATTGACCTTGGAAATAGTGCTAATTTTGGATCAAAACCTTGAATATTTTAAGAAATATTGAAGATAGAGACTTGCTTCCCAAGACAAAATAGCGTATTAAAAAAAAACCAAAAAATTACATATCTCTGTGAAAACGAGAGATAGAGGGTTGACGTCTTCAGCAAAATATTTGTTTTAATATTGTCTAAAACTTTGCTCAAGACATCATTTTAAAGACTGGACTCGGAAAAAATGAGACACACAAAAATGATCACCAAAAATTCATTTTAAATCGGATACTTCTCAAATTTTCAGGGATTAAATAACTATATATTAGTTATGTTTTGGCATAATTTATTTATTGAATTTCCTCCCCCAAGCTGAATGCTCTTACATTTCTCTTAACACTGCTCATGAGATCTTGGGCGAGGCATTGCCCATTAGACTGATGCAAATTTTGACATTTTCGCTCCACAGTGCTCAAACGGTTCCAAATCGAGTTCTGATTAGTCTCCCAAAATTTGAACTCATTCGATAAGAAACTGACTTGGCACAAACCATTTGAAGTTTATATGGAAATTACTATAGGAAAACCAAATGTTTTGTTCATATCCATCTAACAATTTACCATATTGCTCTGCTTTAAAAAATAATAACTGAGCTCGTAGAAAATTTTCTCAGCTACAACTTTGTCTTAAACCAGATTTCAATATAATGTAAGCATCAAAAGTTATCAATAATTCAAGCCACTAATGTCTTACGATTATGCTCAATCAACTGTTCAGCAGGCAACATTGGTGTTTCTGGCGCTTGGAATAGGAGCACATAAATCATGGCTACTATGCCACACTGCAAGATACAGTGTTGCTCACAAAACAGCTGCTTGATCATGCCATAAGATTATCAATCTCTTAAACAATTAATAACTATTTTATTTGACGTTTAACTCAACAACTATATTCTGCTAAGTTGAAGCTGAGAAAATTTTCCATAAGCATAGCTTTTGAATGTTTGAACAGTGCAATATGGAAAAAGGTAAGAAGACAATGAACAAAAAGTTTGGATTTCCCATAGTAATTTCCATATAAACTTCAAATGGTTTGTGCCAAGTCAGTTTCTTTTCAAATGAGTTCAAATTTCGGGAGACTAATCAGGACCCGATTAGGAACCGTTTGAGCACTGTGGAGCGAAAATGTTAAAATTTGCATCAGTCTATTGCCCATCTTCGTTACACAATTTCTCCCAGTTTTTCTTCAAAGCTTCATCGTTTTTTAATGTTTTTCCGCTTTTCTTCAACTTCTTCTTCATTATCGCCCAAAAACTTTTCGATCGGACGAAGTGCTGGTGTATTTGGCGGGTTCGCCTCCTTCGGGACCACATTAACGCCCTTCGCTCCGTACCAATCCATTACAGGCTTGGCGTAATGGCACGAAGCGAGATCCGGCCAGAACAGCGTGGGACCACGGTGAGAGCGAAGGAAGGGCAGCAAGCGCTTCTGCAAGCATTTTTCTCGATAAATCTGCCCGTTTATGGTGCCGGTTGTAACGAACGGCTTGCTGTACCGTCCGCACTCGCAGATCGCCTGCCACAACAGGTACTTCTTCGCGAATTTGTCCATCTTTCTCTTCCGGAACTTTTCCGGAACCTCCATTCGCCTTGATGTATGTCTTGTCGTCCATGACAAGACAGCCTGGCTTGACCAGCCACTCACGGTACAGCTTCCGCGCACGCAATTTGGCCACCCTGTTTTGCTTGTCAGTCCGGTTTGGCGCCTTCCTGACCTTAAAAACACGTAGCCCAGCCCGCTTCATGGTCTGCTGGACGAACCACTTCGATGAATTGACCTTTTTGGCCACGTCTCGGGTGGAAAGGTTCGGATTATTCTTAAAGTACTGCCTTATCTTCCGCGCCTTCTCTGAGTATTCCGTTTTCGGTTTTCGGCCGCTTCCAGCGCGCCGCTCGATGGTCTTCGTCTCCTGGAACATCTTCACAACACGGGACACGGTGGAATGGTGGATTCCAAGCCTTTTGCCGATCCATCTGTGCGACTGACCAGGATTATCGATCACCGCGCCCAAGATTTGCTGGCGTAGCTCTTCTTGTTTCGAATGCATCTTGAAAACTACTTGACAGATCGCGATACTCTAAACTAGTATTACCCAAAATTTCATTAATTTTTACCCACGCGATAAAAAGTTACACCCAAAACAAAGTGTCGCATTTTTTCCGAGTCCAGTCTTTACTACCTCGACAAACAAACAAAGTAAATATGTCATCTCCCTGCTAGGTGGATTAATCATGAAATAGCTAAGCTCAAAAGAAGGCGCTTTTAAGTGCACAAACTTCTCCGAAGACACTATATGGTTTAAATGGACCGTTTTCGCATAAACTAAAAAACGCACGTTTTGGCACTTTTAGACCACTGTGCATTGTGGACTGCAAGAAGCTTGAATCCGGGAATTAGATAGTGACAGCTCTACCGCAGATCCAATAGCCTATTTCAAGAACGCAAGCATTCCGAAGCGATTTCCACACACGATAAGCCCCGCATCAATAAATTATCGATGCTAATAATCCACTGATAAAATGTATTGAAACTTTCAATCAAGCAGAAGTAGAATTCTTGATTGACGCGTATTTCGAGCATCAGTTCTTTTATTTAATATAACTTAGCTGTGTGTTAGCGTCGGCTGGAAAAAAAACTGCTGCCTCCATTGGGTCACCGTTACGCAATCCACTTTTAATGTAACTGCACAATTTTTAAAAGTCCGCTTCCGAATTTAATTTGACACGAAAAAATCACGCAGCAAAACAAAAAGACGTCAATTTAGCAGCGTAGCCTACTTCGATCTTTGGACGCAGAATAAGAGCTTATCCAGGCAAAATTATGCTTCTTCTGCCAAAAAATTGCTTCTTGAGAATTTAATCAGCAGAATTTTTTTGATGTGAATATATCTTTAATATGACACTAAAATTGTCCAAATTGATGCATACATGATTGCGATTTGTTAAGTTGAAACTTGTGCTTTCAATTTATTTTATACCTTTCTATAGTGGAAAAGAGAACAACAGATAATTTTAATTTTTTGACATTGAAATATTTCCAAACCTTCTGCATCTTGTTTCTACTCAATTCAATTGCCTAACATTCGACGAGATGAATTCCGAGCTTCATACCAGACAAAAGTTCGACATCATTCGTGTTTCATAACGCTTGCAGTTTCCGTACCGAAGTGAAACTCGATGTATCCGCATACCCTTACTAGGTGGGGCAAAAATGGAAGCACTAATAATTTTCACCACAGACAACAAGACGAATTAACAGCGAATAATTTTCGCAGCGCCGACCTCCCGCCCGTCTGCTTCGTTTGTTTGATTTTGTTCAGCTTTCTGTTGCGCTCTCTTCTGTTCAGTTGGCAATGCGATTTATGAGGTGTGCAAAAGATATTCCCTACTAGTGTTTTTCCTTTTCTAGTCGGATTGGGGAAAATTTGTAGGATAACACCCGCTCTCATCTGTCTCGCCGTCGCGAAAGTGTGGGAAGAGGACACATTTTCTCCAGCTGAGCTGAAATCTGACACTGCGTGGTAAGCTGATCATCAAAGGAGGCTTGTGGTGGTGATTTGTGAGAGCGCTAAATTGCTTCCACAAGCAGCAGTTCCTCTTCCATCGTGGGATGGGCCAATGACCTTTCGAAATGGAAAGGGTTGCTGCGTTCCGTGGTGGAGCAACAGAAAATGTGTTTCATCTGGCATTTAAAAGATGTGAGGGATATTCTAGTCCAGCAAAAAAAAAAAGTAAGATGAAAAAGAGCTGCAAATAAATACACATTAGACAAACATCCTAAGTGTAAACGGGTAAACAAATCATAAAGATCGGTAGATATCTTAGGCCAAGGAAAAACGCTGTTCGAGCTGACGTCCAGAATTTTTCCACGTTGGGAATATTTGTGGTCCAGATGGAACAACTCTTCCGCAGTCTTTGTTTGATGATGGAAAATGATTTCCCGACTGAGTGCCAGTCAATAGGTAAAGTTTCCAATCCTAATTGCAATGGGTTTAATTTCGGTTGCCCGTGACGTCACAGTGTTCTAAATTTAGCACGATGAAGACAAATCGTTAAAGAGGAAATAAATAAAATCACACGTCAGTCACGATCCGTATGCTTCGTGGGCGGTAAATAGAGAGCTAAGCAAGAAGAGAGTGTGCCGTTCCACCACGTGAAAGCAAGTTGCGTGAGTGCAGAGTGTTGTGTGGAGCGAAGAGTGTGTGAGAGAGAGATACCACGCGAGAGGTGTGTTGTGAGAAATTTATTGAAAAATATCACGATTAACGTGTGGTAAAAATAGCATCAAGTGCGTTTTCCACTTTAAAAAGTACTGGTCTGATTGCTGTTTTTGGCTCAATAATTGGGGAAAAGTAGGCGCTGCAAATCCATTGATTTTTTCTCAGCCTACCGCGATCAGATAATTATTGTGTTGAGGAGCCATTGGTTAATTGTAATTGATGATTGTTTTCTGTCGTATTCAATATTTTTAGCAACGAAACGTGACTCGGTGAAGAGCACCGAACGTCCACGAACCTACGAAGAGGAAGCTCGGCGAAGCAAATCATTGGACGGAGATGCAATTCTGGATCCCATTCGGCAGATGGACAAGGTAACCCATACCGTTTCAAGCAACTTGGACTGATTGTTAAATCATCATATCTCATTCTTGCAGAACAAAAACAAATCAGCCTGGAGTAAGGTGAAGGGGATCGTCAAGAACCATCGGGGATCTCTCAAGTCAAATGACTCCCAACGACGGAGTACCAAATCGTCCAACAGCGTCGGCTGTAGCCGCGAAGCCAGCCCGTGCGAATCGATGGATGCCTGTGAACTTCAACGGGACCGTTCGGATTCGTTCTCGTCGAACCAAACGTCCCCTAGCCATAGGAACACTACTCCCACCTTCCTGGCACTGCCTTCCGGAGATAACAACAGTTGCCCGAACTCACCCTGCGGGTCACTACCGGCCACATTTTCCAGTGATGATAACGAATGGAAGCCTGAGTGCAAGCTGGGCCGAAGTGGTAGTGGCGATCGTGGAGTTCCACCACTCAAGGACACCGGCGGAAGTCGGGGCTCTCGGAAAAGCAAACATATACCTGAGATTGAATCCGTACCTGAAGGAGTCCCGATTGATCCGAAGCACACCGTCAGAACCCGGAAATCTCCTCCGAAGCCGTTGAGTCTGCGGCAGGAATCGTTGGATGTTGAAGCATCCGCAGACCTGTCACTGTCTTCACCGGGATCTCAAAAAGACAGTTCCAAATACTCACCAAAGCGAAAGAGCTACGGTGGTGACGAGACTTCGGCTCCTGAAAGTCCCTGCAAGCCGTACGAATTCTTCGAAGGTGAACTGGAGGATTTTTCAAGCGAAGAAATCTCCGACCAAAACACACCTCACCGACGGGCGTCACCGAAAACCAAGAACCTTCTTCGGCAGAGAGAAGAGATCGAGCGACGCTACATGGACCTGCAGAAGAAACTTCAACGGGAGTTCGATGCCAAACAGCAGGAATGGGAACGACTACGACCTGCGACCCTGTTGCTTACCAACAGTCCAAGTAAGTTCCTATGCACAGATGAACATAAAATTTATTATATTTTTAAGTTTTCCTTCTAGTAAATCAGTTTTTTAAAGACGATGCTCCGGCCAGTCCAAAGCGAGAACAGCCGTCCCAGACAGTGGTAGAGGAAAACCTTTCGCCGGACTTTAAGAAAAAGTTGGATGAGTGGCGAATCAAGGTAAGACTAGAGCTAGTCCCTTCAGCGTTTCAAAACATTCAAGGGATCTTTCAACAGCACCAGCCGCCATCGAAGAAAGAACCCCAACCAAGTACGTCGAAAGATTCTCCTACGGACCCCAAGAAGAAACCGGTAACGGATTGGCAGCTATGGAAAACGGGACAGGTCAAGCTGGAAGGACAAGGCTTAACGCAGCTGCCGAATGCAAAGGACTTGCCAGAGGACTTCCAGAAAAAGCTCTGTATGATTTGTACGATTGAAGTCTAAGGTTGCAGGTGTTAATTAAGTATCTTGTTTGTCCCCACAGCTGAATGGAAGCAGATGAAGGCAGCGAATAAGGTTCCTTCCTACACTACCCCGTGTTCAACGGCAAGCGAGCTGTCAGTGAAGCGGCAGCAAAGCAAGCATATGACCGGAGCGACGGCCAAGAAACCGAGAGCCACCGAATGCGATCACAAGGGTGAACACAAGGGCGAAGGGCTGTCCAAGCTAAAGGCTCTGGTCAGTACAGATCCTCCGAAGAAAGAACTGGTCGTCCAGACGACGAAGGGATTCATCAAGTTCGAAGGTATTTCGAGGAAGTTCACCCGGCGGTTGTTCGAGTGGGAAAAGGCGAAGGGAATCGGCCCGGAGGCATCGACGATTGCTCTGCTCCATCCCGGTTACGCCCCGGTAGTCGTCGAGAATGCTGGCGATGTTTTCGAAGTGAAACGTAAGTTGCTGTTGAGCGCTCAAAATCGAGCGGCCGAAAGTGACACTTCAGGCGGCTCGTTTATGAGCTATATTTCCAGCTGTTTTAGGATAATCACAAACCACTGCTCGGCTCAAACTTTTGTCTCTTTAAATTTCTTTTGATTATGTATATCGATCCATTTCAACCTTTAATCAATTCGATCTTTAAACCTTTCGACCTATTGCCCATTCGACCTTTCTTCCATTCGATTTTATTTCCATTTTGATCTTTGGTAGTTGATTCGAAATACAAAAGGTCCAAGGACAAAAGGTCGATGGAACAAAAGGTCGATGGGACAAAAGGTCGATGGGACAAAAGGTCGAAAGGACAAACAGTTGAAAACCTAATATACTGAGCCGAATAAAGCAAGCAGGCAAACCAAACTAAGATGCAATATGAGCAATTTAACTGAAATGTTCAGATAATTTACCTCCTTTAAAGTTGACTCCATCTCCAAGGGGGGGATACACTGTGAGTCTTTCGTGACCCAAAATTGCTCGAATTCGTAACCTCAATGTCAACTAATGATTAAATTTTCTTCGCAGGAGAAAAATCACCCGGTCTCGGTCGATCCCTGTCGATGGATAGCATTTCGCCAAACCCCTCGGCACCGTCGATCTCGCATCAACCGTCCAGCTTGTCGTTGAACGATGCCGACGAACTGAAGGAGAGTCAGGAGAAGGATGCGGCCTCCAATCGACGGGTTTCCTCCAATCCAGAGCTGGAGCTGTCCGTTGATCGGGAGGAGCCCCGTGCCGTTTTGGTTGAAGTCGAGGAGGACATTCACGAAGTGGCCGATCCACTAGCGGTAGGTCCGAAGGTAGACTCAGCCGGCAGTCAGAGTAAAACAGAGTACGTATTCCATCATTTCGGATAAGATTCAATTTTAAAATTTCACACTCTTCCAGGCCTGACCGCACTTCGCGACCATCGAGCAACAGCAGCACACTTCTGAAAGACTCTACCAAGTTACTGATCCGGCTACGCGAACAAGACTCCGTCGATCGGGACGAGGTACGTCGATTAAAGATCGTCCTCCGTGCGCTGATAGCTACCCTTCCGGAATTTGTGGAAACCGGTTCCCGTGATAGTATTGCATTTTTCGCGTGCATGAAGGATCTTGCCCAGGAAACGCTACAATATCTGTATCGCTTCGAGGATGGTTCCCTGAAGTCCGCTCCGGAAATTCTGGAAAATGTTCAATCGATAAATTCTCATGTTGGCGATCTGAAAAAATCCCTGCATTCCTACATGAAGTATGCTTCGGCAGCGGTACGAAATGAAGAGGACATCCCGAAGATCAGTATTACACCGGCCATCGGAGCACAGGCCACCAGTTCTATACAGAAATCAAACGACAGTCTTCGAAACATGGCCACCATCAACGTAACGCCAACGTTCGTGTGTAGCGCTGTCCGGGTTAACAAAATCGACACCAACAGAACACAAACCAGACACTTTCCCATAAGTTCAGAATCGGATCCAGTCCCACCGACGTCGTCGCATTCACCGGGCTCCTCCACGCAGATCGAAGGAAGTCTTGCCGAAGACCGAGCGCAAGATCGGGACAACAGGAAGGTCGCTCGCAATTTGAGTAACGGTTCCCGGAAGAAAACCCGAATCAAGCGAATGGGTTCCAGACAGAACAGCAAAACAGAAAGCGACAGCGATGATAGTCCACCGAACTACGTCCTGGAGGTACCCCGTAAGACAAAACGCAAAACAAGCAGAGCTAAGAAGCCTTCCGATTCGATGGAAAAACTGCCGGCGGTTCATCCGCAAGTGGAAGACGTGGTTTTCGTTTTGAAAATCAAACCGGGGCAGAAGGCAGAACAACAGGAGAAACCCCCCGTAGCAGCATCGACATCCGTCAGCGTCACCGAAGAGGTTCTGATATCTCCCACCGAGACTTGCGTGGAACTGCTCGAGAACCAAGGCAGTTCAAGTTCGATCAACAACTGCACAGCGAACGTTCTGGTCAAAACGAAGCGAAGGATCTTCACCACCGTGGAAGGTGAGTCGTCAACCAAAAACACAGCTTCCGTAGTTGTAAGTCGCGACGTGGAATCGTCCAGCACTTCGGATCGAAATGACCCATCGGAACTAGCAAAAGTCGATCAGAAGATCATCACGAATCTACCACCACTTCCACAGTCTCCAAGCACCCAGCGGCGGATGGACAAGAGCGCTCCGACGAAGGAACTTTCACCCAATATTCGATTGATGATTGCCAAGTACAACCAGCGTCTGTCGTCGGAACGTAGTGCAAATTCGCCGCTCAGTTCCGGTTCCTGTTCACCGGTAGCGTGGAGGTCTCCGGTGTTGGACCGCCGAGTACGAAAACAAACGGAAAAGTACCAGGAGAGTATCCAGCTGTCTAAATCGGCCAGCGCAGGAAGTTTACGCAAGTCGTTGAGGCAGCTGGAGGCAGCTCAGAAAGCGCATCATGGACCGGAAGGAGACGAGGAGGAAGAGAGTGGAGCGATTGCTTCTGTAAAAGTTGTAAAGTCGTCCAGCACGGGAATGATCGACAGCGGTCGCAAAGGGGGCAATACGGGCAAGGCAGAAGATGAAGGAGCTGATCATAGTGATTCGCCAAAAATGTCCTTTTTGGCTTACGATAGCCTGAAGCGAAAGGATACGTTGTCACGTATCGAAAGAAGGGAAGCGGAGGATTCCGGGTCGGGTGGCGGTCGAACGGACACGCTAAGGAAAGAACGGTTGTATAAAAAGCGAACAGAGTCACCACAGGGAGCTGGAAAAGCAGGCGCTAGGAAGGTCCCTAGGGAGAAGTACACGAGGTGTCGATCGGTACCGGGAGAGGAGATGGTAAGCGATCGTTGCCAAGAGGAGAAAAGCTTGAGGAGAGTTGATGGTAAACCGCCGAGTCCTCGGTTGACAGTGCGGCGGAAATTTACAGATCAGGACTCTCCGCGATCGGCGCCGACAACGCCGATGGAAGAGGACAAGGGAATGGTGCAAATGAGCCAGCGAGCGTTGAAGCTGAAGAAAGCCAAAGAGGAGTTTTTACAGAGTTCATCAGCAGCGGCCCGGGTAGACCAACGGCAACAGGTATGGAACAATCGAATCAGTCAAATTAGTATGACAAGTGCAAACAGTGCAGACGACAACGCACTGCTAATGAAAAGTGCCAGTGCCGGGGTAATCAACAGTAGAACGGCGGATGGAGAAGACAGCCAACAGGAGAGTCTGTACGAATCACTGCCAAGAAGTGTGCTGAGCGCATCGGGGGTTGTAGCCGACGATGAAACATCGTCAAGGAACACAAGTGTTCAAAGCAGTCGATTCGGGTTGTCCAATTTGGCTTCGAAATTGAGAAAGGTTAAGCTGAGGAGGAGCAGCAAGGATCTCAGCAAAAAGCCGGCCATTTCACGACTGTGTCGACAGAGCCTGATGGTCGATATCAGCGGAGAAGCGGTCAAGATGGGGAGCGCGCAGAATCTCGGACAGACCTCCAGTGATGGTGGCGGCGGAGGTGGTGGAGAGTCCCTAAAGAAGTCAGGCAGTGTGCAAGCGATCTGCAATCGGTTTCGTAAGAGCAACGAACGAAGTGATGAACTCAAAAAGAGTAGAAGTTTAGGATTCTTGGAACCGGATCGAAAAGGATCCCAGTGAAGGCTTTTCTGTAAGTGTTTAAACCATGTTTACAATATAGTATTACAACAGCGACGGAGCAATCTCAAACCTATTGATAAGCGATTTTCGATGTAAATGTACCAAGTACAACAAGAGGATGTAGGAAAAGTGTAATTTTCATGAGCAATTCAATCGCACACTGATGCAAAGTGCCGTGCCAAAGATTCGTAAGATGCTGTACACATCTGCTGTCGTAGATTTATAGAACTGAATAAAGTCAGAGAATTCGATAAAATGTCCGCAATTTACTGCAGAGAAAAACGTCCTCGAGTTACCTTACTCATCGAAACGTGGCCACACGGCTGTTTCGTAAACCGATTCCCTTATCGACTCTTCAAACAAACGGTCGTCGTCGAATCAACCTGCAATCGAGTCTACGACTTCTCGTGATTACCTGTTTACATTTACCGTTCCGAGTAGTCACCGACATTAGCGGTGACGACAACGACGACGACATCTTCGTTATCGAGACGTTCCATTTCACCACAGCGATCAATACATCAGCGGACTTCAGAGTACCTATGTATCGAAGAATAAATAGTGTCGAAAATTCTTGATTCACACTGTGCGTTTATGGCCATCGTCGTTCGGTGGTAAAAACCGAACCACTACGTTATCTTCACTCTACTGCGGAGTTTCAGTCAATATTTACTGAGAAAGCAATGTTCGTCACCTCATTTGTCGAACAGGAAGGAATAAAAAAAAAGCGATAGTTTTGCGAAATCGGGTCAGAGAGTCTCTCCTCACGCCGAGAAAAGCATAATCCTCGACGAAAAATTCAATTTTGTAGTTCGCCGCGGTTACACGGTAGCAAGTAAAATCATGCGAGCATAAAGCTACAGATCGAAGCGAATTGATTTTTCCTAGCTCCGCCTCATCGCAGTAGGCTTGCTCGAGCTTCAAACTTTGAGCAAATAACGAAAAATAACGCGTTACTGTTGTTGTTGTTGTTGTTGTTGCTTCTGCTACCCGTAGATAAGATAGTGAAGTTTCCACTTCTTTGCCTTCACCTTCGGGTGTTCTAATCAACTCTCTGATACCTTCGTCGTCGTCATGTCGTGTTGATGGAAAAAAAAAGTTAGGGGACTGGTCGGAGGAATTTTCAATTGAAATCGTTCTCATTGAGGATGCTAGATATAGAGGGAGGCTAAAAGGTGCGACCAAACGACGTTGGTAACGCGAATTACATCGATTGCTTTGTTTTTTTTCGTCAGCTCCTGTTGTCCCATAATAATCAGCTTAGGTGCAACCTTGTTTGTTATCAGTTCTTCTTTTTTTTTTAGATACTGCTTTGAGCTTGATGGATTATGAAGGATTTATGAACTGAGCGTGGGGTTAGATTTGTGCCGCTGAGGTAATTTTCTGGTGAACAGAGGCTATTGATTTGGATGTTAGTGACGGTTGATTTCAATTAGCAACAATGTGATTACTTGACGTATTATCGACCTTTGATCTTATGTGGAGTCCCAAAGTCAAGCTTATAGAAAGTTATCCTTATTTTTCTCTATGTCAGCGAAATAGCAATGAACGGAGCAAATGGAGAAAAAATCATAGAGAATGCTGAAGCTTAGCTCAAACATGCTTTCTGATGTGTTTTCATATATTTAATAAAGCTATGATGGCCTCAGAAGATCATCAGAAAAGAGAGATCTCTCGGAGATAGCCATATCTCAATATCTCAAAACGCCGCTGGATAAATGGGATATTTATACATCAAAATTTAGCTTTTTTTTTGTCTAGAAATCGAATGCCTAGGTGGTTGTGCACGGCACGAATCATTTTCGGGTAGTTTGAGGCAAAAAAGGAATGTTACCCTATTTTGTAGTGCCTAAAATTGCGTTATAGTCCAGGGGCAAGCCTGTACTGTACTCAGAGGTAATATTTTTGCAGTGAGTAAATATGAGTAACTCATAATTACTCAAAATTTATCCAAGCAGTCGCACATTCATCAACAAACAATATTGTCAGTTCAGAGAAAAATTAATATTTGGCGTCAGATTTGACAACCGAAATTGACAATCGTCACTGACAGCTGCTTTTGGGATTTTCGAACACTGAACCAAAATCGTTCCTTGAAGACCGAGTTGTAGACCCTGTTCGCATGACAATACATAAAATATGAAAGGAAACATTCAAAACAACAATTCAGGTGGAAGTTTGCAAGATAAATTAAAGAAATCTTGATACATTTGAATAGAAAAATAAATTAAAACTGCTTTTCAGCGCATTAGCAAAAGATGGTCCTCCAACCAACCCATGGACTACTACACTATTTCATTTCATGAGGACACCACCGACAAACCGACATGAAACTTAATCTTTACTCTTGATCGAGAATCCATAACGGCGAATTAAAATGTGCAGCGATCCCATCTGTCAAAACCATAGAAATTTTTTATCTAGATAAAAATAATCAGACCGGAACAGATTAAACACGAACCAACTCATACATTTTGCATGCGTGTTCGTGGCTAGGATACACATTTTTCGCGAACTGCCGCCGTGATGTCAGGTTTGTGCTTTGATCAGAAATTTGATGGTACTTTGTACGGTCATTCATGTCGGTTTGTGGGTGAGGACACCGTCTCCACAATTATTTAGTAGATTCTAGGGTTATATATGGTATCAGTATAGCCTTATTGATACAATTGATAATCCAGTGGATCTGGTCGATTGCATCAAGGGGGATCGATCTGTCTTCAACCGAGGCTTCGAAGAATGATAGAATGACGAATTATTATCCGGTTGTGTTTATGTTTGACAGCTGCGGATGCAATGCATTTCATCGTCGATTTGGCGTAACTGGTAGTTCGCTCACGCATGCTAACACTACCATCAGATAGGGGAAATTTTCCCCTACCTGGTAGTGGTGTTAGTAAGCGTGTTTGAGCTACCAGTTACGCCAAATAGACGATCAAATGCATTGTTTACGAAAGCTGATACGTCGAATACTTCATTTACAGCACATTACCCTGATTATCTTGAAAATATGTTATAAGCAGGTTGTGTGATTTCACGATTGTCCAAGCCAAATCGATACATCCTCAAACATAATTTTTCTATCGCTACGCATCCGTGTCAAGTTTTGTAAAATCGGGTGAGGGTCGTTACGGTATATTTTAGCTTGGATTGGTTGATTAATTTGGATAATCGTATAGTCAACCGGAAGTCTTTGGGTATGAGTGATCAATAAGGTATATATAGCACGAAAACAGATTCGGAGGAGATGCCATTCACAGTGAAATCGTTGTGGAAACATCCATTATGATGGAACGCTTTCCGTTTCAAGCAAATTAGAGGTCTATTATTGTAACTGGAAATTTCAGCAATTCAAATTGCAAATAAAGAATTTATGACAAAGGAAATTCAAGAAGGTTACGTACTTTATTTGTTTTGACATAAAGAGCATGTGACTAGACGATGAAAAACTTTTTTACCAAACTTACTAGAAAATGGAAATTATTTTAATCAATATTCCAGAAAACCGTGTGAATCAGGCGTTCCTAAATTAATACAAAGGTTATTTTCTTTGTACCACTAAGCTGTAGTGGTGATGGTGCCACTTGGGGGCCGATTATTTGCGGCTTGCTCGAGGTTACGAGTAACAATTGATAAACAGGAGGATGGAGGGCTATGAACTGGGAACACAAGGTTTGGGGATGCACTATGGTGCTTCCATCTATTAACGTCTTTTTAAACAAACCAACTTGAAGAGGTGGATATAGTTCATTCAAGATGGCCAAATCGCAACCAGCACCAAGCCGATTAGCATCCCCGGTAGCGATAATCACGGGCTACTTAGAGTTGGCTATAACCTTTTTGCTCTGTCATCGTCATCACTGACACTAGCGAAAACAATACAATAACAATAGTGCATTAGTGACGCCGATATGATCCCCCGTTTTTGTTCGCATGACTGACGGCAAATATCACCGCCAGCAATCCCACCGGGCACCACGTGGAGGTAAGAATCGGAGTTCAGATGCACAGAGGTCGCAAATTGACTGATCAGCTGGCAGAACCCGACAACCATTCATAGGCATTTTTATGCACCTGCTTTACCCGGCTGCACTATAGTGGTGTTTGAGTTTCAGGAAGCGGACGGATGAAAAAATTACCGAAACACAAAATACGGACTATGGTGTACCACCGAAGGGGAGCTGACGCTTCAACTTTGAGGAACAGGAGAAGACAAGATACTACTTAAGATACCTCAAATTATACTACGGGTTGTCAACCACAATTTTACATCGATTTCCAGTCACTGAACCTATGTTTTCATAACCAGGACCCTTACCTAGAATATAACAAAGATTATTTGATATTACTCCATTAAAGATGTTATGGGAATTTAAATGGCTCTTCTCAGAGACGCTAAAAAAATGGATTTTTTACGAATGCATTCTTCTCCGTGTTGATGGTCAACAGTGAATTGTCTGTATTCAATTCAGTTGACAACTGCTTAGTAACGTGCAGAAAAAGTTCGAAGAAAATGGGATTTGAGGATACTGATTCGTGCGTCGTTGGATGATAGTGGGTTGAAAACTTCTTGAATGTTTGTTTCGTCAAACATCTGACCTTGACATTTGGAAAAAAAAAGTAGAAGGGTCTGTGCCTAGGGACACAAACGGAAGCTTGACGTAGGACCGCTAGTGGACGGAATAAATGTGAAGAGCATTAAGTTCTTTTAATTGATCAAATCAGGCATAACATTTGATAACGGCACAAAAGCATTTGTAAACAAACATTCTAAGGCCCTTTACACGCGAACTAAAATACGCTTACGCAAACCAATACCACTTTCGGAAAGGTGATAGTTGCCCCTATGCGATGATGTTGTTGGTTTGCGTGGGCGTACTTTGGTTCGCGTGTAAAGGGCCTTAGAAGGTTTGTTTACAAATGCTTTTGTGCCGTAATCAAATGTTATGCCTGAAATATCTATTATCACAACTCTTTCCGTTTTTGAATTGTAGGCGATCCAAATTTGTAGTAATCTTTTTCAAAAAGAAAGTTGATTACGAGAATCAGTCAAAATCACTTGCACCCCTGCTTCCAAGTTTGTGTGGTCGTTGGGGGCTTGTGGTTCTGAATATGGACAAACAAGCACAGATAAATTCTAATCCAACTCTTTACTGGTGTAAGCTTGATGGCCCTGAAAAGGGCCGTTTTATTGAAGAGGACATCCATGGCCACTTACGTTTGGCGTGTTTAGAGTAGGTGACAGCATCACGGACCTAATTTTCCACGAACACCTTCAGCACACCTCGTAGATCAGACCGGAGATACGTCAGACACTGCCACGGCGAGCCAGACGACGGATGGTGGTTACCTCGAAGAATTTGCGATGACGATTGGCACCTCCTTTGCCACGACCAGCCACGACCTACTGCTGCTATTGCTGACCACGCCGTCCGAAGGGAAAATGAGCTGATACCAGACAGCAGCGCTGCTTTATATTTTTTAGGTTAAAGCAGAATGATGTGCAACCAAGTGGTATAAAAGCTACAAAGACTCCTCCAATTATGAGTAGTTTGCTATCAAGTAGCGACACTGGCTATTTTCTTTTTGCGTACACGGCGAATGAGAACGACCCAAATTTGAGTTTAGTTCACTCATAATCGCCTAAAGTGTAGGAACTCAGCGATGAGTAAATTTGTCTCATGATTTCGTGTGGAAAACCTAAAAAATCTGCCGGAAAATGAGGAGATTGACGAAAATTTTATTCAGTCTCGGAGTAGTGCCAATAGACTGAGTGAATCCAATCTTCACTTTTCGCAAATTCGGGAATTTTTCCCTGGAAAATCCTGGAAAAACCTGAGAAAACATGAGGCAAATTTACTCATCGCTGAGTTCCTACACTTTATTTCTTATTTCTGAGATAACTAAACTCAAATTTGGGTCGTTCTCATTCGCCGTGATAGATATCGGCGTCTGTGGTTAGCGTGATTACCTCTCACCCCAGCAGGCCTGGGTCCAATCTCAGTCGGCGCCATCGGCATGTTCTAAGGCATACCATCTCTGGGAGCTGCCTCCCTGGCGTCGGTAGCATTGGAGCTCAGTACGGAAAACAAATCTCGCGTCACTTTTCAATAGGTCCTATCTACATTGATCGATTCTCTTCATCGACACTCTCTTTCGTAAATAACTCGGCTTCACAAATCTGGATCAACAATAGAAAAGAGCCCATCAGCATTTGTAAACAAACCGTTCCAAAGCCCTTTACTCACAAAGCGAAGGCCACCCACACAAACCAACACCATCATCGGATAGGGGAACTTCTACCTACAAGATGTTGGTGTTGGTTTGTGTGAGCGGCCTTCGATTTGTGAGGCTTTGGAACGGTTTGTTTACAAATGCTGATGAGCCCTATTCTATTGTTGATCCAGAAATGTTTCCTGACGTCATCGTCGAATTAGATGCTAGATTGTTGCTTCTTCCATCGAAAATATCCGGCCGTGGCGATTCAAAGTTGATCAAGGTTGATCAAAATAATTTGTACTCCTGCTTCTAGTTTGATTACATGAGCATTTTGTGTGGTCGGTGGTTCTGAATATGGACAAACAGGCAGATGAATTCTATTCCTACTCTTTTCTGTAATAAGCTTGGTGGTCCTGAAAAGAGCCGTTTTGTTTCCAATGTTGGTGATGATTTAACCTCCGAAACCAAACAGAGTGCGTCTCTGTCACTTCAAAAACGTAGATGACATCCATGGCCGCTTACGCTTGGCGTGTTTAGTGTAGGTGACAGCATCACGGATCTCATTTTTCAGGAACACCTTCAGCACACCTCGTAAATCAAACCGGAGATACGTCAGACACCGCCACGGCGAGCCAGACGACGGATGGTGGTTATCTCGAAGAATTTGCGTTTGGTTCTGAACATGGCGATGAGTGTGTAAAGTATCACGCAATTCCATCCTCCCTATTCGTACGCGCCCGAGGATCGGAGGCAAATGCCACTTCGACTTTTTTCGTCTACTTACTACTCTCTGACGACTATGCTGGGGAAGCAGCATATGCATGTAGGTAATTGGTGGATTTGTTAGTTAATTCGACGCTCTTGGACAATGCTGAACATTTGCCAGTTTTTCAATAGTTTCTTGTTGAAAATCGACATTTGGAAGCATTTTTATCAATGCGTAGCCATATTTCTGATCGATTGGTGATAAAATTATTGAAATTGTTCCAGGGGCAGCTGAGTTATTAACGTTCAAAATCTTTCTTAATTTGTTACATGTTCCATTTTCGGTTTTCACAAAGTGTACCCCCATATAGAAATCAAAGACGTAGTCCTACGTCAAAAAACGCACAGAAACAAGTTGCTGTTCTACCGTACATTCGATAATGAGCAACTCGAGCTACTCAGAGTAACTCAAAATTAACTCCAATATTACTCACGATCAAAAGCTGTCTTACCCCTTGTTTTTGTTGGGGGGAGTTGAACCACTGCGTCCATTATTTGAACTGTCTTACCCCTAGGTTATAGTCAAGGGGCAAGACAGCTTTCGATCATGAGTAACATCGGAGTTAATGTTGAGTAACTCTGAGCCATTCAGAGTAGCTCGCGTTGATCAACATCAACTACACATAGCAACCTGATTTTTGTGTTGCAATATCTCATCATCGGTGGGCTGAAACCGGTTGACATATTTTTCTGCAATAATTTCGCATGCAACTGAAAACTGGTGCTGAAGTTCTTGCGGATGAGATACTAGTGATGCTGGACGGCCACCAGGTTTGAGTTAACGGATACCATCACCGATCGGATGGATATATTTGCAGAAAAAATTGTAGCTGTTTTGAGATTGCGGCTTGTGGCGCCGTTTGTTTCTCCTTCTCCCAGTATTTAGCATTTTGCTGAAATTCCGTGAGTAGCATGATGGCATCCACCAACAAAGCTGTCCTGCTATTGAAAATGAAATTGCCTGAAACTATTGTTCAAGCTAAAAGGGAAAGTTTAACACTGAGCTCTCCGGAATTCCTTTTGGAATTCACTGCGTTTAAGCTCAAGAGCGGATAGTGTCCTTGCCAACATCGTCATTACTCCGTCATCGCCTATAAAAAAATGCGATTTACGATATCTTGACGACTAATGTGGATTGATGTCACATAGCACCGATCAATATGTTATCAGATATGATCTCATACAATTTTATCGGTTAGTAAATTTAACAAATGCATGATTTCAACTCAAATAAATAAAATCTCGAGCAGGTAGATGACGTCTGTTTCGACTTTTCATTGAAGGTTTGTATATGCTTAACAAAGCGAGACTACTTTGATCAGTTTTGAGTAATTATGAGTTGCTCAAATCTACTCGCTGCGAAACTATTTGCTCTGAGTACAGCTGACTTACCCCTAGGTTATAGTCAATTACTAAGTGAAATGTAAATCTATTTTAATAAGTTTCATTTTAAAGCTAAGATTGTCCTTCATAATCGTATGTATCTAATTTAAAATAGGATTTAAAATTCTTAAGGTTCAGCCGTACCATTTTCAGTCAAAACAATTAAAATATGCAACGGTGAAGAGTGACATGGTGACACGCCCTAACTGTCAACCATTTCTGCTAATATATGAAGATATGGCTAATATGCCAAAACTAAAATTCTGAGTAAAAAAGGGTTTAAATGTTTTAAGCGATTAATCAATTGCATCTTGAAAATATCGTACATAAAGCGATGATAATCGCAATGCAATGCCGTTGTGATAATGAAAAAAAAAAATCAAAATGTCTGCTCCCAAAAAGTGTTTTACCAATCTTTTACAACATGGCCATGAATACAAATAATACCTAGGGTAAATGTTGGCTTCGGCACTATTTTAAATTTGACTATTTTCGGCAACCAAAATTTAAACGCTAATTTCACTGTATTTTCCCACCAAACACTTCTCTGAATGTATTCAAATGATTCCTTAGTCTTTCAGCTTCAATATGATTACATTTGTACGACTGAGCAATCCTGTTATGTCAGATTTTTCTTTAAATGAAATACAAAATGCTGATTTTGCTGATTAACAAGCAGTTCTGATGGAAAGGATGCCGAAGAAAAAGGGGCAGCCGACAACGATCACACTCACCTGAGTAGTTTGGAGCGTTGTAAAAACGCTTTCGAACAGTTTTGAACAATTCTGTCGATTGGAATGGATAGAGAAGCAAGCTAAATGTAAACAAACAAACACGTCATATGTGTGCGTGACGCTCAGAAAATGCTAATAGAAGTGCGGACGCTGCTTAGATTGACGAGAATACATACGTAAATTTCCCTACCACGTGGTGCTGTTTTTGTCGATTTGACATGGGTGGCATAATAGCCGTTTATTCGTTTATGGCACAGAGAACAGACGTTGAAGCTCAGTCAGAAACTTGTGTAAAATAAGTGGGAACGTCGCCGTTACGTGGTGTTAGCATCTCCTGATTTTCTCTCTAAATTTTCCACTTTCGACCAATTTGGCGCTAGTATCGATAAATTTTCTGTTGAAAATTGCCACTTGGCGCTACTAGCACTTAGTATCTAGTGTAATTTGTGCAACGCCAGCGCCATCATGTTGTCAAAGAGGGTTTTTAAGTGGGGAAGTCGCCGTTAGTGGTGCTTAAGTCGAATAGGAATCTTTACACAAGTTTTCAGAGAAATTTTGTTCGAGCCTCCATGTCTGTTCTCTGTGTTTATGGGCAGATTAGTGTCCACTCCAGGCACAGACAAACAGACATAACTCTCGGTACACTGAAGCGTTAAGCATGCCACTACTATGAGATGGATAATAACTAGGTAGGTCATGACTTTTCATACACATTTCCTGACAGTTGGTGAAAGGTCATTTGGATTCAAGCTGCTGCACGGGTAAGTTGAATATTTATTAGCAGCGTCGTGGGTGATTTGCCCATAATTAATATCGGCGGATTTTCACATTTCTGGCGATCCTGCCAGGAGATGAATCTGGAATCTTGGAGATAGGTAATAAAGGGCAAATCACCCACTTGCAAGGAATATTGGAAATATGAACGCGACCGGGACGGCCGTTCTGAGAAACGAGTGATGACGGATTTTCAAAAAAAAAAAAATCGTCTCTTCGTGGTGGCACGGCCACATGACGAGAATGCGACCGGGACGGCCGTTCTGAATGCGAGTGACGACGGATTTGCAAAAATCGTCTCCTCGCCGTGGCAAAGCCACAGGATAAGAACGCGACCGGGACGGCCGTTCTAAGAAAACGGGTCAAGACGGATTTGAAAAAAATCGTCTCCTCGCAGTGGCAAGGCCACAGAAATAGAACGTGACCATCCGTAGGTGGCCCGCTATGGCACCACGTTCAGTGCCGTAAGATGAAATACGTACACAGCAAAAAAAAAAGTAATATGCATCAACGTAATTCACATGATGTACAACAAAACGGATGTAATCAAGAAAAGTAGATGTATAATAACCCATTTGGATGTCATAATACATCGCTCTTTAAATTACACCGAAACAAAATTACCATTGTCCATTACGTTGCATCTGTGTAATATTCACATATCAATAACATAATTATTACACAGAATCAGATGCAACCAAGTCATTCCAAAATAGTTGTGTAATATTACACAAAATTTGTGTAATATCATATAATGTTGATGCTGTATTAAATCTCGCAACACTGTAAGACTTCGTTCTAGATGATCGGGAGTGAATGTACTCCACGCATTGCCAGAGGAAGCAGCAACCTGTAAGTTGAAATAATTTTTACAAATTTTAGTTGATTTATTGACGATTTCGCTTTTATCTTTGCAGAACATCCGCGACGAGATTTTTTCATTGCCTTCAACCAGACGGTTAGCTAAGCAGAGACGCCATACTTTCTGGGAACCCTCAATGCCGACCAATACTGTTAGTGCTTCACGCAGTGCCGAAGGAAGTCCATCCAGCTAGCTGTACCTTCTACTTGACCCGAATTCAGTAGGAATGCTGATTGTCCATGGCCCATGGCTCCTACCACCCGGTGGTCAGCCCTTCAACACGGCGGAGACTAGTCGTTATGCTTTTTGGAAGTCTTTCATGCCGATCAACATTGCGCAGTACTCCACGCAGTACCAGAGGAAGCCGTAATCTGTAACTGAGTAACTGCAGTTTTTACAACTGATTAAAATCTATGTGAGAAAAAAGATAGCAAAGCAATTTAATCAACCACGTATACGTATATACATCGTTTTTTCCTCGGTTTTTTCTTTACATCGCATCATTATTACATCGCTTCGTTTACTTACATCGCTTCGTTTACTTATATCGCATCTGTGTACATCACATATATTACGTCAGAAAAATTACATCGGTTTTGTGTGTCACATCATTTGATTCTGTGTACATCGTACAATGTGATATTACACAACCGATGGATTGACCTGGTTGCAGCAGTTTCGATGTAATATTCAACAACTTTTTTTGCTGTGTAGTACATTGCTCGAGCCATGCCGGACAGACGAGTGAGGACTACCTTACCCCGACCCAGCGGGCTCAGCGCCAGATCAGACGACTGAAGGAGCTGCTCTCGCAGGCTCGCATAGACCTGGAGCAGCGTGATACTGAAATTCTAAGACTTACCAAAGAGGTTGTTGAGCTGCGGTTCTTCAAGGCATCGCTCAGTTCCCCGGAGGAACGTTCAAACTCCAGTGACGCCGTAACGGTGCGAGAGAACACCACCAACGATGCAAACACGCCCAGGGCATTTCATCGATTGTGGATCAAACGGACGAATGTAGCAAAGCCAGTCCCCGGCATCATCTGCACAATCATGACATCCACCAGGTGTAGTTCATGGACAAGATGTCCACCTCGGAGATGCAGAGCTCGTTTGCCGATTCGGGACATTTCGAGGACATTACGACCTCGTCGATCCATTCCAAGGATTCGTACGTACACACGCAGGATCGTGCTTGCGGAAGCGACGATGACATTGGGAAGCAGCGGCTTGTCGAGATGTACGAAGCTCGCATTGAGGAGCTAGTTAAACAGCAACAGGCAGACGAACAGCAGAATCGAATGTCCAACAATGATCGCGTTGAGGCTTTGCTGCAGAAATTGTCCGAGTCGAACAGCAGATACTGTGATCTGGTTCCAGACTACTGTGAAAATCACCAACCGGTTAACATTGTCAAAATGAGTTTTAATTCTAGACGCAGTCGATGCCGCCGATGTATCTAGAAAAAGATACGGCGATTTGTTTTTGCTTATATAAAAAAAATGGGAAATACTGGTTTTAATGTAAAAATGGACACTGATGGTTCAGAATTTTTTTGCGGAACACAACTACATAATATTTTTTTCCCTGATCACGCTAAAAAAAAAGTGGAAATAAAATCTACTCTCATTTTTTTATAATCATAATGCCAATAGAAAGGTGGGTGGCGCCATGATGTTAGTAAAATTAAAACTGACAAGGTCATTTGAATTAAAGCTTGTACTCAAAAAAAGTGCACCATTTTTATCCGTGTGTCACTTTTTTATCCGTTGGTAAAAATTGATGAAAATCTGGGTAGAACTAGTTTGGAGTGAATTGTTTACATGTTTACAAATTTCATAACAATCGGTTCAGTGGTTATTGAGATGTCATCGAAACAAGAAGAAAATCACCGGAGAATTTTGCGCGCTGTCATGGAAAATCTGACTGCGACCATGAGATGGATCGTAAGACAACTGCACGGTTAGAAAAAAGTACCCAAAATTAAGTTCTTTTCACTCATCTCGGCACTATAGTGCAGGAACCCAAAAGTAGGTAAAGTGGGTCAAAGTAATTTTCATTTACTTGTGAGCAGTTCGTATGGAATTTTCCACTGGCTTTTTAACCAAAAGTAAGTTAGTTGTACCCAACGGTAGGTAAATATGAATATACTCAACGTTGGGTTCCCACACTTTACTACCCCTGTTGGGTGGTTTTGCTCCTTCTTTTTTGACAACATTAGAAGGAGAAACGGAGACCAACTAGTCAAAAGTAGGTAAAAGTGAACTGGCCGTTGGGTACTTTTTTCTAACCGTGTGGGAATCACCCGATGTCAATCATACAAGGTCTGGAACAACAGGCAGCTTGCTATAAAGCCCTACAGTAAAAGTATGGACGACTGTCACCACAAAACTGAAAAAAGCTGTTGCAATCGAGCAAAGTGGTGCATTTTGACGGTTCGATTGGAACAACTTATGACAGACGTCCATACTTTTACTGTAGGGCTTTAGCTTGCTAGTGTTAGCAGCAAAAATATTGTAAACATTGCTGAGCAAACGAATGCCGACGTCACGACAGCACAACATTCCATACTGCGATTAGCAGACGTGTCGTCACAGAAAACAGCTGTTTCGTGTAAAAAGATAAACATTGCGATGAAATACGACCACTACTAGAAATTTTCACATTTCACTTATACCAATAAGCCGGTTGGGCCAGACCTTGTATAATTGACATCGGGAATCACCCATACAACTGTGTCTCGGGTGGTAAAATCGTTTAAGGAGTCCCAGACGAAAGAGCGGAGGGCTGGAAGTGGAAGAAAATCGAAGACAGCTGACCCTGTGAAGGCCCGGAAGGTGTTGGATTATTTCAAGCTTAATCCGAACCTTTAGATTCTCGACGCGGCTCTGAAGGCAAAGTGTTCCGCCTGGTTCGTTCAGCAAATCATGAAACGAGCTGGGTTTCGTGTATTCAAGGTCCGGAAGGCACCGAACCGGCGTGATCAACAAAACCCGGCGGCCAAATCCCACGCAAGGAAGCTGTATCGATAGTGGTTAACGAAACCGATGTGTACATCACAATGGGTACCATCAACAGCGAAATTTACCGCACCGAGTGCCTCCAGAAGCGTCTGTTGCCCTTCCTGCGGTCCCACGGAGGCGAGACATTATTTTGGCCGGACCTGGCATCATGCCATTACGCGCGATCGACGTTGGATTGGTACAGAGACAATAACGTTGTTTTTGTACCATAATGAAGGCCAAAGTTCGAAAATCGTCCAAGGTGTTTAAGAACGAGCTGGAGTTGAAGAAAGAATGGATGAAAGTGACCAAAAAGGTCGGCTCCACCATTGCACAAAATGTAATGAGGGGTCTTAAGGGAAAGGTGCGGGCTTTCAGCGATGGAAAGGAAATTGAATAAAGTAATTATGCCAAAACATAATCCATATGTATTAGTTCATTCCCTGAAAGTTTCAAGAAAATCCGACTTAAAATAAATTTTTGGCGAACACTTTTGTCTGGTGCATTTTTTTTTTCGAGTACAGGCCTTAAGCTGCTGCACGGGTAAGTTGAATATTTATTAGCAGCATCGTGGATGATTTGCCCATAATTAATACCGGCGGATTTTCACAACTACATTTCGAACTAATCAGTGGTGCCAGTTCTTTTTCAGATCAAATTAGTAGATGTTAGCTCTTGAGAATGATAAGGGGACCAAGGCATCCCACTGGAGACATATACAGCACTGACCCAATTTTGTCAGCCCCCTTTATGGAAATCTTTTCTTACGTTCTACGAAGCCCATGCGCTTTTTCAGTGGTCTTATTGCACCAAAGTGTACCTTAAACACCCCTCTTGAAGATGCATAATAATGATTTGGAATTACGATTTTAAGAAATTTTTCAATGGCAAAGGTCTGATACGCGAAGGGGCTGACAAAATCGGGCCATTACTGTACCACATACTAATCTGACGAATACAGAATAAAAAAACGTTGTTGAATATTATTGATTGAACATTCCGCTATGCAATATTATGCTGTACGATTTACACAGAATTTGTTAACAAATCATTTTAATGAGTGTAATATTATATCCACTTTTAGTAACTGGTGTTCAGTACATCACGAATTACATTGATTGATACATACCTATGTACCACCACTGTTTTTCAGTGAATGTATTTTACATTCACTGAAAAACAGTAACAGTAAGTTCTGCCCGCTCTAGTTCGTGATGCATAAGAGATACAGATTTGAGTTATCAGCAAAAGTTGTAGTTAATAACAAAACCTACAAAATCTCTATACATCATTTTGCGGAATGCTGTTGATGAAAAAAGTTAGAGGCAAATGAATGTAAATGAATGTATGAAATGAATGCAAATGATTTTCCATGCCTGGCCGCAAGAACACCAGCCACAGCCATTGGAGCTGCATCGTGTAGCCGTGGCCGGGAGTCTGTGTAATGATTTTGATAACGAAGGTGGAGGATATCATGATCCCGGGAGGGATGAGGACTTTGGGAAATAAAGATAGCATAGCATAGTACAAGCTGCACAAATTCCTAGGTGGTTCGAGTTCCAAACTACTGTTAAGTAGAAGACCCACCTCCATCCGATACTGGTAGATAGTAATTTGGGATTAATCACTAACTCTTAGATAAAGGATGTTTCTCCTTCCAGCAGCCCAGAGCTGTCCTGGTCACGTCCTTGGGGATGGGGAAGAAATGTTAGTCCGACATTTACTTAAGAGGTATGCAGATAACTCACGACCCTCAATAAATCAAGCTGAACATTGCATTAGGTCCGAAGTAACATTGACAGATTCTCTTCGTCGACTTTCTCTTTATATCTCCACGGTCATGTAAAGACATTGCCAGGTATTTTCAGCACACAAATCTGTAAAAGAAGCTTTTATCTAGCATCTAATACGACAAACACAACAAGAAACGGGTTTGTGCTCAAGTTATTAACGAAAGAGAAAGTCAACGAAGAGAATCGATCAATGTTACTTGGGACCTAATGAATGTTCAGCTTGAAGTATCACAGGAATTTAGGATTTTTTTAGTTTAAAGGTAGGCCATAGGATACATCCAGTCGGCGTTGCTGGCAATCATTATGTTTTAAAATAAATCATTAATAAAGCTCAAGAACAGGTTCATCCTTTGCTGCTGCCTTCTACCAACGCAAGAATAGATTAATAATTATGCTGCTGAAAAGCAAAATAAATGGATTAAATAATTGGATCAATACCTATAACATCTGCATGAAGATAATTTATTAATAGTCCGAAACTAAGCTGCAAAAAGGAAATCATGATAATATAGATCTGTTGAGGTTTTAACTACGAGCTGAACATAAAGTATGTTGTAATTGACGGGGTTAGAAGGAAAGGGTGTAAGTGACTTTGATCGATTCTCTTCATCGACTTTCTCTTTTGATAGCCACAGCTTTATAAACAGATTTTGTGTTATTTCTGCCACATAGTTTGATAATCGAATCGAGGAATATGTGTTTTCAGCTGAATTATTAACGAAAGAGAAAGTCGATGAAGAGAATCGATCAAAGTCACTTACACTCCTTTCTTTCTTACCACCTCAATTGTAATTGTAATTGTTCAGTGTATAGGCTGTGCCAACTGCTAAGTTGGCTTATCTAGGATCTAACCCCCTAGTCCCGTTGCACTCGTCAGCTCGTGCGATACTCTAGGCACACATGGGTGGTCGTATCCGGGTCCTCCCCTGGGTAGGCTCGTGTCCGTCCAGGTTCTGGTACATTAACTTATCTCTATCCATGGTAATTATACTTTACAACTTACCTTTTGATTATACTAATATCGATAGTAAAACTATATGAAGGTTAGTGATCATTATTAGCTGTGTGCTGATATGGAGTAGTACCAACAATCAATACGAAACTAACGATTTTAAATTGGCTCACCACTTTAGTAGCCTATTGGTCCCAAGCAAACGATTAACGTACCCTATTCTGGTTGAAATTCTATTACTACACTATGTTTGTTTTGATTCGCTATGAAAGTTTGACAGATAACATCAGGGGTGTGTGGATTCATGCAGAACATGCAGGGGTGAGTGAAATAGCTTGGGACTGCTTGGGACCGTTGTTCTGGTACTGAGTGAGCCAAAAATAATAATGATTTTCTTCGGGACCCAGTGGTCTTAGAGTTACCTCTATGGTAGTACCATAGAGGTAACTCTTAGACCAGAAGGTCCCGAAGAAACGAGCTCAACTTTTTGGCTCAGCTCTGGTACTATCTTCGGTTCCAAGCTAATTGATGCACCCCTCGAAACATAGGAAAATCCACGAACCCCTTATTTTATCTGTCAAACTTTCATAGCGAATCGAAACAAACATAGTGTAGTACTGGAATTTATACTAGAATGGGGTACGTTAATCGATTTGCTTGGGACCAATACTGCCGTTATACGCATAAGAGTCCCACGGTACATAAGGATTGCATAG